TTCCACGCGCAAGAGCGCAACTAAATATACTGTATCGAGCCACCTTAAAATTCATTTTTGCTAATCTTCTTCTTCTTCTTCTTCTTCTTGTTAGGGGGCGACGCTCTTTAAAAAACCCTAAGGCTCTATCATTACTTGTTTGATCGGAATGAAACTTGGCACAATTATTCTAAGCAATATTCCGCATCGATTGACGGAGTTCGAATTTTTACTTTTGACCGTTGAAGCAAGTTACAAGGAATTCTTGACTATATGTGCAGCAAATAATATATACATATCATTAATATTCAGCCTATATATCATTAATATTCAGCCAATATATAAGAATACGCAAACGATTAGAAATACATTGTCCTCTCTACTGTTGTAAATACAATGCAGTTCAGAAACTCGGTCACGCAGTTCCTGTCCACTATAGTACGATCGTACTTGTTATCACATTTTCGTGCGTAACTTTATGCGTGATCTAACGTAATTATATGCTAGCGTCATGAACCGTAATACGAACACTAAGTAATAACGAACTCTAATTGAACTTGAAATGATGTAAAGATGACATCGAAACGTCGTTCTAATAAAATAAATTTGTTATCGCTTTCATTTGTATCAATGTAATTTTTTAACTTAATTCTCTTAATTAATTCTCTATCCGTTTGGCTAAGTTCACAGAAATATTGAAGAGTCTCGGCCGTTACTGTAAATTTTGAAACATTGCTTTTCCGTGGTGTGGGTTTTGTTTTAAACGATTTGTTCCCCGTAACACCCGTTTTTTTATGCGTCGCAACTGCGCATGTGCCGTCCGGCCTTGCCCTTGATCAGTATTCGCGATGTAAAGAAACTATGCAGGAGGGATTAGTGTTTCTTGAAACATTTCGGGCGCAAAAATCAAACTCAATTATTTGAGGACGTAATTTATAAACACATGTTATGAATTACGAGCATTCGATTTTACACAAATATAATTTGCACAATTACGGAACCAAGAGGTTATGCATAGATGGATCTCTTACGTGAATGTGAATGTACAGTAGTCCCTCGCTAACTCGAACTTCCAAGGTGAAGGAAAAAATGTTCGAGTTACCGGGGGTTCGAGTTAACCGGAGTTGGTGCCAGATTACGTTTATTATAAGTAATACAATAACTTGGCATCAAATGTGGTATAACAACTGCCTAAATTAGACAAAACACTTCTCGACGTTTCGTCCTTTCGGCCTTCGTCAGGAGAGTCATACTAGACGAAGTGTTTTGTCTAATTTAGGCAGTTGTTATACCTTATTTGATGCTAAGTTGTTTGAAGACGCTGCCACGCTGCTCCCTGGTTATATAAGTAATACAATAAGGTATAAATTCAATCGAATCATTCTTCAAAGGATATCAGGTCTACCAATATGAATGGTCGCCGAGAGTGGACGAAGTTTTAAAATTAAAAAGATCGAAAGAATACAAAAGGAACCAAAAAAGCTAGATCAATAACGACCGTGGCACTACAGAAAATCTTGAAATTTAAAATCAATTATACACTGCTGGTCAAAAAGAACTGCTCAAAACAAGTCTAAATGTTCTCAAATGAACGTAACCGTCCCTCTAACAATATATACGAGTAAATATAGACTAGATTACATGCTAAGCTATTTGAAATATTAATTTTGTTGACCCTCCTTTGGCCTTACAATTGATGACGGCCTTACACCGGCGTGGCATACTTTTTGTTAAGGTGGTAATCGTGAGCGGTCAAAAGAAATTCATCCTATGGACTGTGTTTACAGCAAGCCATAAATCATGGATGCTTTATGAATTAATTCCTTCCTTGCACTATCCCCTTGACATTGTCCCACAGATTTTCAATAGGGTTAAGGTATTTTGATTGTGTAGGCCAATCTTGGAAGTGTAGCAGGTTGCATTACATTACTGAAATATTTCTTGGAATATCAGAATTATCCAAAATGCCTATGAAGCTCTCTCCTATATTCGCTTCTTCTTTATGAATTTGCATCTAAACAGTTCTTTTTGACCGCTATAGTGTACAATAAAAGATAGATTGTCACGATTCCTGTTACATACGACAATAGCAACATTTGAGCAGCTCTTTTTGACCGCCAGTGTACATTTTCATTAACTTGTTGTTATTTCGATAGTTTCCAGTAAATTCTTCTCACATTTTAAAGTTTGCTGATCTTTGATTCGAAACCAAAGTTCGAGTTAACCGGATATATTTGACCAAGGGAAAATAAAATTTGTTCGAATTAGCGAGGAGTTCGAGTTAAGTGAGTTCGAGTTAAGCGGAGTAAATTACTTTTAAAAACACTGTCAAATTCAAGGGGAATTGGATTTAGTTCGAGTTAGCGAGCAGTTCGTGTATATGTTGATACCTGATATTCAAATCATATTGGCGGTATACAGTATTGATCATAAGTATATTGCTTTGTATCGTGGACCACAATGTAAAATACTGGTATAGCAGTAATTTGTGTAATCCTAATAGAGTTTCTAAACATTCTATCGTTTTACGCGTCGAAGCATCCACATCATATATCATATATATATATATATATATATATATATATATATATATATATTATATATATTATTATATATATATATATATATATATTATTATATATATATATATATATATATAGACATAATATCCACGGCGGTTTATTTACATTATTTACAATGCAAGTATTTTAAAATGACGGGTAAATTGTTGCCATCATATACATGTATTCACAGTTGTTTGACGTAAAGTGTAAACTGAGAAAATTGCGCCCGCTTGGCATGAACAACTGAATAGTATTTAATTAAATAGTGATGAAAATATCGCGACTAAGTAATTTAAGTACTTTGATTAATTTCCTGTTTGATTAAGGGTAATGTTTAACCTAGTTCTTTATATTTTTACTGGCAGAAGTCAAAATGTGACCCATTTAATATGTTGGGATAAGTCCTATCCATCGGATAAATCTGCTATCCAGTGGGTAGTTATCCATTGAAAAACGCGTTGCACAAAGCATGGATAATGGAGTAGACAGCTATCCAACAGGGGCCGGTTGTATGAAAGCCGGATAGCGCTATCCACCGGATAGTGATTATTTCATTTTTTCACAAGTCGCCAGTTGTTGGGTGTAACTTTGATTAAATCTTAGTATTCCTAAAGTGAGAATTACTATCACTATCCAGTGGATAGCGCTGTCCAGCCTTCGTACAACCGGCCCCAGATAAGTTAAAATTTACCAGGAGAAAACAGGATTGATTTCCCTGTAATTTCGTACCACAACGCCAACTGTTGCTAAGCATTTTTAATATACAGTCTTCGTGCACTGGCCTTAATCTACTCACGCGATTGGTCAAAATCAATCACGTGATTTGCCTGGTGACAGTTCATGGGATTGATGGGAATTATAGTTTATTTGCAAATCGCAATAACCCATGAAAAATCCATCAAAATTAATATACAATCTTCGTGCATTGGCCTAAATCTACTCACGCGATTGGTCAAAATCAATCACGTCGTTTCTTGTTGCCTGGCGACAGATCAAGGGAATCATAATTTACTCGCAATAACCCATGAAAATCGTGATTTATTCGCAATAAACTATGAAAATCAAGGTTTATTAAAAAACGACAGCCTGCAACGAAGCTTGGATCTTCAATGCAGCCGTCAATGAAGTCAGATTGTATAATAAAAGTGTTAGAGACTTCATGTAGGTGTTTTGTTCACAAATAAACGCGCTTGCCGACCATTTTCAAACATTGAGATTTTTCGTTCATTGTATGGTCAGCGCATGCGTTTATTTGTGAACAAACACTCACAACAGTCTCTAACCCCCTTAAATAACATTGAATTCATAATCATTATGAATTTTCGAATAATTACTGGAAAGGACAAGAGTATTGCATTTTGTCCTGATAGGTCATTTTATCGTGAATCTTTACAGTGTTATCTTGTATCTTCGAATTTCTCTACTGGATAGTGGATTTAAACTACCTCCAGACCTTGGATAAATTTATCCAGTAGATAGCGACTTTTATCCGCTGGATAAAGTTATCCAAGCTTCGTGCAACGCAAATCACACGCTGGATAAAACTTATCCGTTGGATAGCGAGTTATCCGTTGGATAGCGACTTACGGCCCCTGGCATATAATATACACCGGTAAATTTTAACTAAGAATATTGATTTTAATCTTATTACAATCGATTCACAAATATATAACTAGAACTAGAAGAATCGCATTTTATAATATACATACACCACGGTTAAAATTGCGAGCGAGATCATATATTGAAAACTTCGACCCTGCTATGAGGAAGCATACAAATTTTGCCATATCCTTTGTAGTGTTGTATTGAGCAATTGTAATATTAGCAATGAAACCTCCGTTTGATCACGTTTGATTTGGGGTTGTGTTTAACTTGCTTCTTTAGATTTTTAGTGGCAAAAGTCAAAATCCTTTATGTTGCGACAGACATCTGGTTGCCTGGGACTAGGTATATGGAGGGCGCTGAAACTTTGCACTATCCTTGGATCCCTAGTTTCGTACTTTTCTTAAACAGTTTTGCAAAGAAAAGAAATTAGGAAATTAAGAAGAGTCAATCTACATTATTAACCATATTTAATTTTTATAGATTAAATCATCAATATGTATAGAAACACCACGTGCATGTATTTGTTATATGCAGAGGCACGTGCAATCTTTGTGCGAGAAAACATATCACGCAAACTTTGATAAAAAGTGACGTTTACATTTTTAAAGATTAATTGCACTATCGAAAGCAAAGATTTAGCAATCAGCCAATCAGAGGTTGTGAATTATTTAAAATAAGTATCGTTTATCGGTTTGTTCATGAACGCCGAAGATGTGACTTTTGGTCACTGAGACGGAAAATTTTCCCTAACATGGTGTTTGAAAAACCGATGTTGAAGAAACATCTTGTTCCAGAGGTCTTATAGTAGCCAAACAATCTAATTAATTTAGTCAATTTAATTTTGTTTATCAGAAAGCGTCTGCGTGCCTATTCTACGTTCAGATGACAACTGCGCGCCTCCAAAAGTTGGAGCTCCGTGGTCTCCGAGTTGTCATATGAAATTTGAAGAAGCCGTGGGTAAAAAGTCCTGGGGAACCAACATACAAAGTTCGAGCGTTCGCAGGGCCCATGTCGCCACATGAGGTATGAATGGTCCTGTGAGTCAGCTGATTGTCTTTGGTACACAAATTTTATATTTGTTGCTTGGAAACCTTTACATTAAAGTGCAGTATCAGCACTATGGTAGCCCATAAGAGCGAACGCTTCGGCCTGGAAATATATTCTCCGTACCACAACGTCAGCTGTTGCTAAGCATTTACGAATTCTCGAGTATAGTTACTGAATGAAAAAGACTTGAACAAGTGATTTGCTCGAACTTTGCACTTCACATCATAGTGATTTTGTTAATTAAACACATTGCAATTTTATTCCTTGTCCTTGACCTTGCAACGCTTTGCCTTTTGGTTCCATAGCAAATTTAGGAACACTATTTTAATGTTCGTGAATGAAAATACTTAGATATTAGCAAGTTTCCTTGGAATAGGTTGAATCTTTCTTTGCATATTCGCGTTTATAAACTGATTAGAAGCGTATAGTAAATTTACCGCCTGTTATAAATGCGAGGATGTCCAAAAAATCGCCGCTCGGAACGGAATGTGCAGGCAACGTGAAACGCTGCTGCGACAAAATGCACTTCGAAAACATTTTTAATAGTGAATACAATCATGATGTGTATTAGTTTGTTGAAACACAGTAACAGGAATATTGCATTTTTGTCCTATTTTATATAAATGTTTACAGTGTTACCTTGTATCTTTGAATTTATCCACTGGATAGTGGATTTAAACTACCTCCGGACCTTGGATAAATTTATCCGGTAGATAGCAATTTTTATCCGCTGGATAAAGTTATCCAAGCTTCGTGCAACGCAAATCACACGCTGGATAAAACTTATCCGTTGGATAGCGAGTTATCCGTTGGATAGCGACTTATCCACCTTTCGAACAACCGGCCCCTGATGTTTATATGTGCAATAACAATAAGAACAACAGCAGCAACAACAATGACCATCGTAATATAGTGAGGGACAGACTGGGACATTTATAGACTGGGACGATAACTGACTGGTTACTACGCCGTCATTATTCAAGCCAACTTCAGATTTGAGGAAAAACACTGGCCTTAATGAGTCCCTTCATTGTCACGTGTAACGAAGGGTTTATGTATATGTTTACATTGATGCAAATTGTTGGGTTAATATTATTCGAAAGTCTGATGACGTCAAGTCAGTTAGCCAATCAGAACTTAGAGAAGCACGTGCAGAACTTGTTCTTTTGTAAAATAAAGGATACGATATGTGGCGATCATGGCGATCAAGTAAAGTTAGCGCCAGTGCAGAACCAGCTAGCTTTGACGAAAGAATAATTAAAGCGAAAAAATATTGATTATAAAAGTTGTTTACGCGACTTTACGCGACAATATGAGCGACCCAGCAGGCAAAGATCTGAAAAGGTTACGAGCTATTCGGTCAAGAAGTCGAGGAGTTGTTACGAAATACACCAAAGAAGCGAGCGAAGTGCTAAATTAAGGGGATGAAACGAACAAGGATCGATTACGAACAATAGCGAAGTTGACAAACGAGAAAATAACACGACTTAACGATGCTCAAATTTTAGAGCTATGCGAAGTCGATGATATCGAGCGGGAAATCGAAGAGACAGAAGAAAAGTTTTCGAGAATAAGCGACGTAAGTAGAAGAATTGAGAAATATACTAGTGCAACCTGGGTCAATAACTTCTCAACCAAGCAAAATAAACACCGGTGTTGTCGCTAAAGAGGCGACAAGCCCATCGAACGACGAGCAAACACAAGTGGAAACACCAAGCAACGAATCGATGGAAGTGGAAGAATCACCAAATACTAACGCATCGGCAGTGCGACTAGCACCCACAATTAAGTTACCCAAGCTGGTACTTCCGAATTTTAAGAGAGATATTACAAACTACGAACATTTTGGGAGAGCTTCGAGAGCGCTGTGCACCGAAATTCGTATTTAACCAACATCGATAAGTTTAATTATTTCTTTTCATTATTAGAAGGAAGTGCACTTCGAGCAATAAAGGCACTAGCAGTTAAAGCGGATAACTACCAATCAGCCATTAATCTATTACGCGAAAGATTTGGGAAATTGCAACAAATCATTTCCGCTCACATGGACGAACGTTTAAAGTTAGCACCATGCGTTGGAGAGAAATCATCACAATTACGGTGAAAGTCGTCATGTCCAAATTATCCGGGGTCGTTCGACTTGAGATTGCTAGGAAATCTGTTAAAGAGGTGTGGGAGATAAAAAGTTACTAGAGATAATCCGAAAGAAAGTGGAAGCTCGTGAATTAAGTGATCATGTGAAGGCCGACAGCGAGAAGAAGAAGATAAAACCACCGCCTGGTTTCCCATCTGCAACTGCCTCGCTAACAGCTCAAGAGATGGATGGCAAACCATTTGGTGCCATTAAATGTGTCTACTGTGGGACTTTACTCGGCTTCGTGTGAATTAAAAGTGAAACCTAGTGAGCGAAAGGAAATTTTGAGACGAGACCGTCGTGGTTTTGTGTGCCTACAGGTTGTTCACTGTGCCAACCAATGTCATTCATCGAAAAGATGTCGTCGATGTGAAGGTCCCCATCACCAATCAATTTGTGAAAGGCTTGTAGTAAATTTGTCAAAATCTCTTAGGAAAGATAAGGACGGTGATCCAAGATTGACATCCAAAGACGACCAGCCTGATACAAGTGCAAGACAAGATTCATTCATAACTGCATGCCAAAATTCGAAAACCGCAACAACTCGAGCGAAATGTAAAGTTTTCTTGCTAACCGCGATAGCACATGCCTACTCAAAAGGTGAAGATGATGTAATTCCGGTACGTGTCTTGATGGACAGCGGGAGTCAGCGATCATATGTCACAAATCTTTGAAAGGAAGGCTTGGTCTTAGCTCGGAAAAAACTTAAGTTTTGAACTTGAATACGTTCGGAGATGATAGATTTATCAAGAAACGATGCGACCGAGTACGCGTAGAATTGCAAGGGAAATTGAAGGGCATTGAAATTGCAGCACTCTGTTATTCTAAAATTTGCTCGCCCCTTTTCACAACGCTTGATCTTGACTGACATGCACACCTGCAAGGACTGGAACTTGCTGATGAAGGTCTGTTTAACGATAGCGATTCTGTGTAAGATATCGACATCTTACTGACATCTTACTTAATGCTGATTACTATTTTGAAATAATCACGGGCGAGATACGACGAGGAGACGAGCAAGTAAAGTCATGTGTAATCGAGCAAGTCTCAGGATGTTCGGCTAGCGATTAATCAATAGAGCAGTCACTGAATGAATTATCAACTGAATTTAGAGCATCTCGTTCTTTAAATGAAAACCTATCTCTCAAGGAAAAAAATTCACGATTAAAGAACAAAATCAACGATCAGTCATCCTTAATATGCAATCTGGACACAAAGACAAAAGAACTTAATAACGAATGAAACAGCTTACTAACAGTTGTAAGACTACTACATGTAGAAAATCAAAATACTATTCAATTCTAGCAACAAGAACTAGCTCATTTACATACTAATACATGCTATCAACATACTGGTGTCTCACCATATAATACACATAGCCCACTATATCTCCATCAGCTGGAACAACAATATCATCAACAACATCTACCCCCGCAACAGCAGCAACAACCCCAGGGGCCGGTTGTTCAAAAGCCGGTTACCTTAACCCTGGATTAAAGCAAATCTTTACATTAATTTTTTAGCCTCTTGTTTGCAGTTGATAATCAATTTTCAAGTACAAAATAAATAATTTCAGGACCGATAGAAGTCATATTTTCTAAACGTTTAAAACGGTGGTTCTAAAGCACATAAACTAAAACTCTTGAATATAATTTAACCCTGGTTTAGCGCTAACATAGCTTTGAACAACCGGCCCCAGCGGTGTAACCTCACGCAGCAGAATCAGCTGCTAAAAGATCAGCAACGGCAAATTCCCCAGCTACAACAAACTTAACATATACCCCAACAACAGCAGCAACAAGTCCAGCAGCGTAATCTCACGAGATTACGAATACAGCCGAATCACCTTCAACAAAACCAGCAGCAGCAATTTTCGTAGCCACAGATAACTCAACATCTACCTCAACGGCAAATTACTCAGCCACAACAAACTCAACATATACCCCAGCAACAGCAGCAACAACCCCAGCAGCATAAACTCATACAGCAAAATCAGTTTCATCAAGACCAGCAGCAGCAGCAACAACAATATCATCAATCACGCCCAGACAACGACACTTCTCACTCCTCACTAAACCAAACTCAACAGCAAAATCAGCCGCAATGTCAGCAACCATTCCATCAACATAACCCAACGAATACTTACAAATCCCGTGAGCCCCCTAGACACGATGGGACGAATCTCACAGTTATCCTGGGTGACTCTATGACAAGAGGTATCAACACAAAGAACATGAGAAGGTCAACTTGCAAGAATGTGACTATTCAAACGTTTCCCGGAGCGACAGTAACTGACATGATGGACTACGCAAAAGTCTACGCCTTCCACCAGCACAAATTATTGTACATGCTGGAACCATGGAGGTAAATACTATTACTAAAAACATCTCCAAGCTCTGCGACGAAATCTATAAAATCTGCCCTAAAACTGACATTTCACTTTCCTAAAAAATTACTAGAACTAATAGCCCTGTGGCCAGTTGTTCAAAATTGGGTTAGCGCTAACCCTGGATTAAATTTCAATCCAGTGTTTTAGTTTATGTGCTTCTGAACCACTGTTCATTTTAAAACTTTAGAAAATATTACTTCTATCAGTGCAGAAAATATTTATGAAAAAAGATATTCAACTTTGTAAACAAAAGAATAAAAAAATTAATATAAAAGATTTGCTTTAACCCAGGTTTAAGCTCACCAGATTTTAAACAACCGGCCCCTGGTATTAAAGACAAAGTTACTCAACTGAACAACCTGCTTCAAGGTCTCTGTGAAGCCAGAAACTTAAACTTAATAAAACACGAAAACATTGATGAGAGAGGCCTGGATAGATATGGTTTATACCTTAATCTTTCTGGTAGTGACCTTATGGCTAGGAACTTAATTAACTTTATTCGGCACTTTTAGTAATACTAGATTACATATTTTAAACAGCTTGAATTCCAACCAACCCATGCCAAATATCAATCTAAACGATAATCCCTTTACTCAAATTCCTACGAAAGGCCTAAGTTTTTTCCATTTAAACATTCAGGCTATTACAAATAAACTGGACCAAGTCAGACTCATGATTTCTGAATCTATTAGGGATCGAAATAAAAACAATATCATATTCTTCTTCTCTGAAACTCATTTAAATGCTAGCTGGTCTGATGCAGAATTGCAGATTGGAGAGTTTAACCTTATTAGAAACGATCGAACTTATGCCTCCGGTGGAGGTATTCTAATTTATATCCCTAATTCAATTAACTTTCAATATCGAAGCGACTTAATGGTAGATAATGACAGTTCTCTCGAGTGCGTTTGGTTGGAATTTAAGCACCCTAATTCCAAACCCTTCCTAACGGTCATTTTGTATCAACCGGGAAATAATACCCATTGGAGAGATTCTTTAAACTGCACTTTAGGTATGGCCGATAACGAACGTAAAGAAATTATCATCTTAGGAGACTTAAACACTAACTTTCAAGACAAACGTTGCTATCAGCCACTTCATGTAATAACATCTCAGTACCAATTTGAACAACTTATTAATATAGCTACTAGGCCAATATCTGGTAAAGTAATAGACCTTATCTACACTTCTCAGAAGGGTCATCCAATCAGGCGTGCTGAATATTGGATTAAGCGACCATCAGCCGGCACAGCTTTATCCCTCAACGACTGCCTGGAAAAAGGTCCGAACTTAGTTTCCCACTTGTTTGACGTCGTTATAAAGTTCCAAGGTTACCCTGTAGGAATAGTGGCCGATGTGGAAAAGACGTTCCAGCAGGTCGAGATGAATCCAGACAACCGTCGAATGTTGTGGTTCTTGTGGTTTGACGATATGCACAAGGAACAGCCCGACATTGTCGAATATCAGTTTTGTCTTCCAGTATTTGGGTTGACTCCAAGCCAGCTATTTTGAACTCGGTTATACAGCGTCATTTAGCGTCGTATGAAACGAAAGAGCCTGAACTAGTTTCATTGTTGCAAGATTCGTTCTATGTTGACGATTTGGTCGGAGGTGCGTGGGACGACGACCAGGCTATAGAGATACACGAAAAGGCGAACGACGTTATGGCCTCTGGCGGGTTTAAATTACGACAGTGGAATTCTAACTCGACAATTCCTTCGTAAAAGAATCGCCTGCGAACCGGAATGCAATAAGATTAATGAAACCGTCTAACAACCGTGGAACCCCTCGGGAGTAAGCAACACTCGAAAGAAAAGGAGAACCGAACTGAGAGAAATTCAGACGAAGCAAACGACGATGTTTTGTCCGAGCGAATCCAGGCAGATGACGAGTCTGATGATGAGATAAACTAGAATGTTCTATTAAATTCCTAGGACTGAATTGGAATGTGGAAACTGATGAAATTCAATATGACCTAACGGTATTGGTAAACTTTGCAGCAACACTTAATCCTACGAAACGATCGGTGCCACAACTCGCCGCTAAAGTGTTTGATCCACTTGGATTTCTTACTCCATTTACGATCAGCATGAAAATTTTGTTCCAAACTTTGTGTGTTCATGACGTTAATTGGGACGATGTGTTAGACGGAGAAGCGTTAGTGGCTTAGAAGGGATTTGTCGTAGACCTCTCAGCACTTATTGGCATACCTCGATGTTACTTTCGAAAAACCAAAGAGAAACCGATAATTTACCAGCTGCACAGTTCATCACAACGGAGAAATTGAAGTTAATCTTGTAGCCTCCAGGACGAGAGTGGCCCCAATTAAGAAACAATCAATACCTCGATCAGAATTACTGGGGGCATATATCCTCGCTCAATTGATGAACGCTGTCCGGAAAGCGCTAACTTCATTGCACTCCGCTCCTGAAATATTTTGTACTGATTCTTACACAGTTTTGTGCTGGATGAGGAACGGAAAGATTTATAAATCTTACGTCAATCATCGTGTCGAAGAGATACGTGGGCTTGTCGAGAAGGAATCTTGGCGGTTTTCCCAGGCGAACAAAACCCAGCAGACTTGACATCGAGAGGGAATTGTGGAGTCGAGTTAATGAAGAATACGACATAATGGGACGGTCCAGAGTTTATTCGATGTACCGATGAGTCTTAGCCGAGTGAACCAGGACCTACACAGAGTGACGAAATGAAAGCATTCGCAGAAATCACCAAACCAAAGGCCGAGCCAACACTTTAACCAATGTAACGAACACACCACCTAACGTAGGAGCCGTCATGGATTGCAACCGGGATAGTACAAAAAAACAGCGAGTAACAGCGTTACTAAAGAAGCTCGGTAACAAGACCAGGAGACGACCAGTGCCAATTGCAATAACTGCCAGTGAACTGAAAGCAGCTGAAAGAATTTGGGTAGATGTCATACAAGCCTGCAATTTCAAGGAAGAAAGGTTATATCTGCAAGCAGTTTTGACGACAAAACCGCAGCTCATGAGACAGTTGGATTTATTCTTAGACGGAAAAGGCACGATTCGATGCCAAGGGCGAATAGATTAATCATTATTACCTATGACGGCAAAGCGCCCCTTCTTCCTTCACGACATTTTTATACCCTTCACGACATTTTATAACTGCATTCGAGAAGGGTATTGGGTTCCAAGAGGTCGAGAAGCCGTCAAACGTGTAATTGTAGTATGTGTTGTATGTAGGAAACACGAAACACCAAAGTTCGCCCTGTTACCATCATGTAGAGTGAGCGATGACCCACCTTTTGCTCACACTTGTATGGATTTCGCAGGACCACGGTATCTAACAACTGCAGATGAAAATGTCAAGAAACAAAAGCTGAACAAGTCATACATTTGTCTGGTTACGTGTGCGTCAACGAGGACATGCATCTCGGACTCGTGCCTAATTTATCAGTGTCTACCTTTTTACAGTCGTTTAGAAGGTTCACCGCGCGAAGAAGATTACCAACAAAGCTACTATCCGATAACGCAAAATCATTTAAGGCGGCGTCGAAGGAAGTTAAAGGCATTGTGAGATCTGCAGAAGTTCAGCGGTGTTTCGCGAACAAAGGAACCACTTGGGATTTCATTGTGGAAAAGGCTCCCTGGCAAGGGGGTTTTTGGGAGTGAATGGTAAGATGTGTCAAGCGCTGTCTCAAAAAAGGCATTCGTCGCGCGTCATTGTCGTGTGAAGAAATGCGCACCTTATTGATCAAGGTTGAGGCTACATTAAATAATGGTCCGATGACTTACGTGTATGATGATGAGTAAGGAGTGTCATACCCGTTAACACCCGCAAAGTTGATCTATGGTCGAAACATTGATACAACGCCAAACGATCTGCATTTCGAAATAATCAGTACGAGTCAATCCCTAACTCGACAAGAGCGGTATCCCAAAAGGCTTCTAAACCAATTTGTGACCCAATGGAGAACGGAGTATCTCCTAGTTTGAGAGAGACGTCGAAGGGTTCCTCGAATGCGACCCTCAAGTGTCAGATCGAGGAGGGAGAGACTTTCGTTTTAAAGAACGACAAATCATCGCGATCATTTTGGAATTTAGCGAAAGGGGAAGAATTACTCCGTAATCGTAGAACCGTAGACTTCCGAGCCTAGTGCGTCGACTGCAAAATACTTCTTGCGAATCAGAACAACCGTAAGGAAACTGAGAGATACAGAGACAATAACGTTAAATAATTGTATTAATCGTATATTACATAACGATTACCGAGAGTGTAAAATTTGTTTAAATTGTTGTAAATCGTTGGTTTAATATTATTTGAAAGTCTGATGACGTCAAAGCATTAGCCATTCAGAACTTAGAGAAGCACATGCAGACTTGTTCTATTCTAAGATAAAGGATACGATATATAGCGATTATTGCGATCAAGTAAAGCTAGCGCCAGTGCAGAACCAGTTAAATTGTTGTATATAATTTAGGAAATTTGACATTAAATAGAAGAAAAAATGAACGTATTTTACATGTTCAACAATGGGATATCTATCCTTTTTCCGCTTGTATAATAATAAATGATCAGGATATTCTGGTATATTTCACATAAAATCATGTTTTTAGGCAGAAAGGTTTTCCTTTTCTTTGCGTTCTCCAAGAGGAACAACACCCGAGAAGCAGGCAAAACTTCTAAATATCAAACGAAGCGATAGCGAGAAAGGATTGGAACGAGTTGCTAGGTTTGTTACAAATATATGAAATTATACTTTACTATACCTCGACGACAGACTTGCGAGTCCCAAACGTCAGGGGATTCATGTGAGCAGGGCAGTGGCCAGCATCGATAAGTGGGGTGGACATATATGTAACTTTATTATATCGCTATTCCCAATCGACCGGGTGGGTCAAAACGGGAAGTGGGTCAATTGCTCCCTCCCGGAATAATGAAATTTCAAAAATTATTAACATGCGCGAAAAGTACGCATTAAAAATGTTTGAAACATGTAGCAGGAACATGTTTCTTGAAATAACGGTCAATAATAGGAAATTACATCCATGGAATAAAAACATGAATGCGGTCAATTTGTAAGCCTGAATAATATTCATAACTGTTACAGCATAAACTAGTATTGCTCCAAGCTATGCTTCATGCCAAATATTGAGTGGCTAATGCCGCTAACACTTTTCAGTAAGAGTCACAGTAGGGCAATATTGTTTACAATGCTATAATTGCCATGTTAGTTTGGTGGGTAACATGATTACGTTGTACTGTTTGACATAAACATGGATTACATGATTTCACAAATATATATATCTTCTTTACGCGCCTGGATCTAGTATGATGCATTGGCTGTTTGTTAGACGTAAATTCATACAGTAAATCTTGGTTGATATTTGATACAAATAAACAATATAATAATCGACCTTATGACCGAACGACGACGGGCGAATGCAAATATATGCTAATACAGAACCACGTTCAAATATACAGTTAACTTAGCAAATTATAGGACTATAGTTTATACGAAATTATAGGAGTATTGTTTATATGAATATCGACATGAATCTTTACCTTATCTCAGTAGATTTTTCATTTTGACGAGGACACGAGGTAACGGAATTATCCATATTACTCGACAAGACCAGCCTCGTACCCAGGCGCTTTAATAGTAAAAAATAATGTTGCTTTCAGTTATTGTATAGAGGTCAGCTAAAAAAAAACGCGATCGCGCGAGGGTGCTTGGGGTGGTTTTGCCAAATTTAGTGCCTGGCAGAAAATGAATTCAACATGTAAACAATCAAATGAATTATACAATATAATACAATATAATTATATACTATAATTACTTGAATTAGATCCAGGTTTTTACAGATACACCAGTTTTTAATGTTATAGGTTGATTAATATAGAACATTTCATGTTACAAATTATATCCAATAAGTATCACGTATGGAATCAATTTACTTTTAAATTCAAGCTGTTGCCATGTCGCGTTGAATCATCATCGGATTATTAAACCTGTAAATAAAGGAATATGAGTTTACCTCTTAATATGTTGTAAATGCGCTCGCTTTTTCCAATAGTAATATGTAAATACGGCATGCGATTATTCGAGTACTCTACGAATATAGTCACTCCGACAGAAAATATTTAAATAAAAGTACCTTCAGATGATTCTTCGCCAAAGGAAGCGTTCATAATACTTGGCTAGCCTATCGGCAGTCCATCCAGTAAAAAAATTATATAATTTTATAATGAAAATATAAACTGCAAAATACAAGCGTTTTCCAGAAATCGGTCACGATTTGCCAGAAATCGGTCATTTTCTGCCAGGCGCTTTCTCGCAAAAAAAACACCCCAAGCACCCCTGCGCGCTTGGTTTTTTCTGCTGACCTCTATATAAGACCTAAATGCAACGTTATATATCTTACTATTAAAGCACCTGGGTAAGAGGCTGCGACAAGACGACAACTGAAAGCTATTCGACATATTCGCTATTTGTAGCGTCAATTTCCTAACAAATTTTTCAATATTCCTTATTTACTTGAGAAGGATATATTTTTTCCTTTAAGTCAAGTAGAGCAAACCAATAAGAAATCAATATTTTTCTTCACCAGCCAATCGGAAAGCTTAAAGTGGCTCGATACAATTTTTCGAAATTTTTAGATGCACTTTTTAAACAGGGATATTAAGCACCTAAATATTTCACTATAAGGCTAAAAGTTAATACACTTTGCAGGAAACATATCTAGAGCGGAAATATTCTCAGAACTTTTGCCTGGCACCCGTTACCATGGCAACTGAGACGTTTCAAAATGGCCGCCAAACAGGGTTTAATCATGTTTATATCACAAACGAGTTCGGTGACCCCCATTTTTTTTTCATTAAACGTTTACGCCATAAATGTTTTATCTATAAAAAAGTTTTAAAAAAATTCTAACATGGGGAATTTTTTCTATTTACAGAAACGTTATTTTTGCTTATTAAAAAATTCCCCCATGTTAAAATTTTTTTAAAACTTTTTCGTAGATAAATAATCTATAGCGTAAACGTTAAATGCAATGCACGATAAAACCCTGTTTGGTGGCCATTTTGAAACGTCTCAGTTGCCATGGTAACGGGTGCCAGGCAAAAGTTCTGAGAATATTTCCGCTCTAGATATGTTTCCTGCAAAGTGTATTAACTTTTAGCCTTATAGTGAAATATTTAGGTGCTTAATATCCCTGTTTAAAATGAGCCCAAAAAAAATTCGAGAAACTATAATCTTGTTGTTCGAAAAGACAAAAGAGTGCTCAATACTATAAGATGTTATAGTAGAGCGAATTAAGTAGATAGATATATATATCTATATAATTAAGTAGATATATATATATATATATATATATATATATATATATATATATATATATATATATATATATATATATATATACATATATGATATATATATATATATATATATATATATAATCTTGGATTTGTGCTGAACCAGAGTGCTCAATACAAGTAAATAGTAGAGCAAAAACACAATCAAATCAACAAAATATAATCATAAAATGGTATTTCATCGCTACACTGTGTTTCACGTACTAGTTTTAGTACGATCCTCAGGCGATAACTATTTACAACGGTTTACGCGCACGTGTTTTTGATTGATTACGCGAGAGTTTTAACGTGCATGTTTGCGTGCGCTTAACATTACAAACCTTAAAACCATATCTTTGCCGGCATTTACTAAACAGTTCTGTCCTTTTGTTCAACGATTTGTTTTTGTCTGATAGCATGATTAATCTTTTTTCCTCGGTGCATAAATTACAAACTTTCATTTCTGGACATGCGGCGGGAATGACCATTTTATCCCAAATGGTTTATCTTGCGACTTGAGCCCCCAAACATACTTCGAGAGCTCCGTTTCTCCAGAGTAGCGTTCGCGGTTAAAAGACTTTAAGTGGTTGCTGTATCTGAGTTTGAAGCTACCTGATGTTATACCAATATAATGCTTGACAACTTCTCCATTATCCGAGCTAACTTCCGCTTTGTACACATGCTTTTCACGAGACAATTACCGTTCATTAGGCATTCCTCCTTAACTCTGCAGTTGCATGATTTCAAAGAACATTGGGAGTTGCTTTGATGTTTAAGGATTCTATGATTGTGGTTGGAGATCGAGGTTTTAACATTGTTCATACAAGAGTAACTCACTTTGACCGTGTTCCGGTTGAAAATTTTATGGAAATGCGATGACTTTGGGAAATGCTTATCAATTAAGCGAAGGAACCTTTGTGCTACATTCGTTTTCACATTCTTACTATAAGGTGGATGTAAGAGCTACGGGTGTAAAGCAGTGGAAGAATACACAAGCGGTTCTAAAATGGTTCAAGGAAATAAGAAACAAATGCGATCATTCATTCCTATCTTTCGACATCAATGAATTCTACCCATCGATTTCAGAAGAACTATTGAAAAGGGCAATTTCTTGGGCGAAGACAATGATAAATATCACAGATGAAGAAGAGTCCATCATCAATCACGCACGTAAATCGTTTCATTATGTGTTCTTTAGATTAGATATATACAATCATTTAAAATTGAAAACAATACATATATACAACTTGTTATCAATTAGCAAAATTTGCTTCAGTACTAAAACTCATTTATATAAAAGAGTTTTTGAAACGATCTGTCCGGCATTGTGGCGTGTTAAAAGTTCTATTATTTCTCAGAAAACCATTACAGCTATTACGAGGGGGAAGTAAACCAGCAAGTTTATGGTTTCCATTGACAACAATATCTTTAAAAAGACTTTGTGATAGCATTTCTCGCCTGTCAAAGAGGGTGGGAATAAATGCCTCTTTCAGTGCTTCATTATAACTTTGATGAGGGAAAATAATCCGCAATGCACGCTTCTGAATGCGTTCAAGATCATTCGAGAGGTAATTGGGGAGATTTCTATGAAACAATTGACAGCAATATTCCAGTACTGATCGGACAACACTACAATAAAAGGCTTTCATATCATCAACACTGAGTCCCGCTCTTTTAAGTTGTCTTAAGAGATATAGGCGTTTGAGGCCTTGGCAGTTATGGTTTTAACATGATCTATCCACTTAAAATCGTCACGAATAGTAACACGAGAAGTCTTGCAGCACTAACTTTATCAAATTTTATCCATCTATCTCAATTGGAACGAAAGATGGAGGGATTCTCTTAAAACATGATTGGATTTCTTTACATTTGGTAGGTTTAAGTTGTAGATGGTTCTCTTTAGACCACAAGTTAACATAATCAACAGCGTCCTAATGGAACTTTCATTAGATTGGGTAATCACTTCGGATAATGTGATATCGTCAGCGAACTTCCACATTTGGGAGATCTGATCTGGTAATCGTAGATCGTTAATTAGAATAAGAAAGAGCCATGGACCAAGACGAGTATCCTGGGGAACTCCAGCGTGGACATCAACCCAGTTGGAAAAAGTACCATCATATTTAACCCTTGCTGCCGATGACGTAAGAAATCAACAATCCAATTAACGATGGTTGGCTTTACTCCTATGCGAATAGTTTAGCGATCAGTATATGATGGTCTACTAGGTCAAAGGCTTTCCGAAAATCTAAGAGGACAGTTCTTATTGTGGACGATGTCCCATCAGTGGCAGATAACCAATGATGAAACATATCGATTAGTGCCATAGTTGTCGATGAACCTGGGATAAATCCAAACTGTCGTGGATCAACAATGGACAACATAACCGGTTTTAAAGCCATATCAATCACAAAGCTTTCCGCAACTTTCGACAGAGTCGACGTAAGAGAAATTGGTCTGATGTCGTTGTTAAAATCACAAATGAGAGACGACTTTGGCAGAGGACAAACATCTGCGAGTTTCCAAGCGTTAGGCACTCTACATTCGGTAAATGAGGTGTTCAATATATCAGTAATAGGACTTGCGATAATGTCCGAGAACGTTTTGAGCACCCAATTTGGAAGGTTATCAGGTCCACTGGCGCGAGATATCTTAATCGCTCTTAGTTTCCTTGCCACAGATTCTTCGGTAACATACAAAGGTTCATCATCAACCGCATCCACGCATGTATATTCTGTCAAAGGCGAGTAATCATTCATTACGCTGATAAACGCTTTGTTTATGTTATTCGTAAGAGTAAAATCATCACACACAAGATCAGGGTGTAAAAGGGATCTTAGGTCACGACGAGTGTTTTTATTAATACCACAAAGATTTTTGACCTCTCTCCACCAATCTCTGGGCGTAGAGTCCTTCATTTGACCAATTTTACTTTCATAATAGGTTTTCCTACAATCTTGATGTCACCTTAAACCTAAAAGATAATCAGTTCTCCCCTTACCGAAAACCTAATAATGACCCAGTTTACATCGACAGCCGGTCTAACCATCCACCATCCATAATCAGACAACTTCCCAAATCGATCAACAAACGTATATCCTCACTTTCGTCCAACAAAACCAGTTTTGATTTAGCTGCCCCGCTTTACGAAGATGCTCTAAAACACAGTCATTTCAACACCACCTTAAGTTACCAACAAGATGAAAACAACTACAACCCCAAGCGAAGAACGCGATCAAGAAACATAATCTGGTATAATCCAACTATAGTAAGAATGTGAAAACGAATGTAGCACAAAGGTTCCTTCGCTTAATTGATAAGCATTTCCCAAAGTCATCGCCTCTCCATAAAATTTTCAACCGGAACACGGTCAAAGTGAGTTACTCTTGTATGAACAATGCTAAAACCTCAATCTCCAACCACAATCATAGAATCCTTAAACATCAAAACAACTCCCAATGTTCTTTGAAATCATGCAACTGCAGAGTTAAGGAGGAATGCCCAATGAACGGTAATTGTCTCGTGAAAAGCATTGTGTACAAAGCGGAAGTTAGCTCGGATAATGGAGAAGTTGTCAAGCATTATATTGGTATAACATCAGGTAGCTTCAAACTCAGATACAGCAACCACTTAAAGTCTTTTAACCACGAACGCTACTCTTGAGAAACGGAGCTCTCGAAGTATGTTTGGGGGCTCAAGTCGCAAGATAAACCATTTGGGATAAAATGGTCAGTGATGAAGCAAGTTCCCGCCGCATGTCCAGAAATGAAAGTTTGTAATTTATGCACCGAGGAAAAAGGATTAATCATGCTATCAGACAAAAACAAATCGTTGAACAAAAGGACAGAACTGTTTAATAGTAAATGCCGGCATAGATATGGTTTTAAGGTTTGTAATGTTAAGCGCACGCAAACATGCACGTTAAAACTCTCGCGTAATCAATCAAAAACACGTGCGCGTAAACCGTTGTAAATAGTTATCGCCTGAGGATCGTACTAAAACTAGTACGTGAAACACAGTGTAGCGATGAAATACAATTTTATGATTATATTTTGTTGATTTGTTTGTATATATATACGATATATATTGTATATATATATTTTATATATATAAATACAGATGGAAGGCGCAGCAAAAAGAAACTGCAAAGAACAATAAACCGAATTTAGGTGTAAAGTGTGTGGGCAAACTGTATCATTGTTGATAGAATCGGTTTTAATATCGTTACAATCAACTATCAAGTTGTGTTGACATTCAATACAGACACTCAAATCTTACTGAATCTTACGACTGCCTGTCGTAATGAGCGAATTTGGAGGACAAATAACAAATGTGAACAAACAAAGAATATCGTTTACGCCCTCATTTCATTTTATCTGCTATTGCGTCGAAACAGGCTGTTATGCGCTCCATATTTAGTCCGTAGAAACACGCTGTTCTAAACGGGAGTGATTGTTGGGCTACTTGTGTTTCACCCATCCCCACAAGGGTGGAGCGTTACAAAGGAATCACGTGACCAGCCTGAACCAGGGTTTTCACCGTGGGCAGAAAAGCCTGGCTTGCGAGGTTGGGTACTAAGTATAGTCGCAAACCGCAAAGCATCTATGGACTATTTGGAGGGACAGGAAATTCAAGTCTGAAATCATTTGTCCCTCGAAACAGTCCATAGATGCTTTGCGGTTCGCGACTAGACCAGTACCCTGCTCGATTGAGAAATGGCTAATTAAATACACACAATAAATATCCTGCATGGGGGAACCAACATTCAAAGGTCGAGCGTTCGCCGGCCCCTTGTCAGCACATGAGGTATGAATCAGTTTTCTTTGAATCAGTTGATTGTCTTTGATGCACGAAATATTTGTCCCTCGGAAATTATTATATTGGATCCTCGCCATAATTTTTTTTCAATATTATGGATAGGAAAATTTTGTTGTATCCCGATATAACAAATAATTCATGCCAACCCATGGGAGTACTTGACCGTTTTTAATAATTCGCTATTTTAAATCATTTTTAGTGCAAAGTTTCTTTGAAACTTGGCAGTATTGTGATGAGTGGTGAAAATCAATCAGTCAGTCATAGTGTAAACTTCCCGGGGGATAGTTTGATTTATGCCTATAGTAATTTTTTGTACATGATCAGTACGGTAACGTTTTAAATCAGTTTAAATTGTTTTATTTATGAATTATCTATCCCTTTTCCTAAGTTCACAAAAATATTGAGGAATCTGGCCCGTTACTATTACGTCACAACTGCGCATGTCCAGCCGGGCTTGATAAATATTCAAGATTTAAAGAAACAAGGAGCGAAGAGTGTTGCTTGAAACATTCCGGGCGCAAAAATCGAGTAACCACTCCGGCGCCAGCGACGGAGTTGAAAATTCGCCCCGGTTTTGTTTTGTTTTGTTTCTTTTTTATTTTTCGTCGTCGCAAGTCTGTAATGGCGCGAATATACTAGTATTTGAAATGTGTATGTGCCCGTATTTATCTACGTCCCAGTCTTATCTCCCAAGAGTTGTGGTGCACAGCTTTGGCTAATTTTCCGATGCGCGATTCGATTTCGCTCGCATGATAAGGCAATTCCACCAAGAGGGACAAATAAACCGTTCTTTTGATGCTGTTCGATTAAGTTTAGGGTAAGAATATATTCAATACATGTAGATTCTGGTCCTATTCTAATAATATCGCTGCTATTTCGCCGTTTAACAAGATGTGGTCGTTAACGGACGCGTTGACACGTCGCAGTTAATTTGCACAGGATTGAAGGTTTAATATTAGCACGAATTCCAAAGTGTAAGACAAAGTGAACGTATCACGCAGTTTATTTACATTTTTAAACAATTGAACTATACTTTTTAAAGTACGATGTGCTTCTGAGTGTCGCGATCGAACAACATTTAGGTTCACAAGGCATCTAGATTAAATGAGTAGCTTTTCTCTATAGCTCAAAGTCCATTTTACGCTTCGTAAAATTTCGGTAACCGCGCTCATGAGAACAGCCACTAAGGTTGATTTCCATTCAGTACAAATTTTGTCTAGTTTCGGCCTTGACAAGGCCATCAAACTATTGCAGATAATGCCTTGATTAAAGAGAAGTAAACTTTATTTTATTACAACCCTCACCCACTTACATAATATTGGCTAATTGACAGTCGTATGTCTTCCTTTACTTTCTTTGCTTAACGCCATTTGCCACCAGTGAAAGGAACTTTTAACTGTCAATTGGAAATTGAACAATACGTCAGCATGAACTAAAATATTTCATTGTATTGTGAAGAATAAAGTTGCCTTGAACAATAAGAGAAGGCTTGAGTTTGGTAATGAGGAGACTCTCATATATCATTAACTTGTAAGAGTCAGGCGAGCATAGAGAGTCAGGGTCAAAAGTTACCCTTACGAGTTAATTATTCCTGAGAGTCACCTCATCACTAAACTCAACCAAACTCAACCAAACTCAGCTTTAAAGTTTGAAATGTTTGGCTAACTTGACGCATTTTTTTGAAATAAGGCATCTATCTATATAGTTTCATAAAAATTGAAGAACTGGTTCTTAATAGCTTCTCTTTTGAATTTAGCGTGGTCTTAAAAACATTCTGTTATTATTGCAGAAAAGTAGCTAAATCCCAGAATGTTTCATGGTGCGAACACTGGAAATTCTTGGATGGCTTTACAGACCTCTCAACGAGCGATGGATTAGTAAAACTTGAGGAGTATCTCAAGACCAAAGCACATAGATTAAACTTGGAGAAAACAGTGCCTGTTGAAACACGTGTTCCTATCGAAAGCTCTTCGTTTTGTTCACCCTGCGGTTCCATTAGTGATGATGTTTTCGAACGCTCCGACGGGACTCCCTTGTCCTGCATAAGTTCAAGAAATAAGAATTCTAATTTAAAAAACTTTCGAGGCCGCTTAAAGTTAGAAGAATCACTGGAAGATAGGGGCACAGAACCCATAATTAAACACGACGCGTCACAGAAAACATGCGAGAAAAATCTGCAGCATTAAACAGTCGCTGTCTTCGTCGGACACTAATGAACTTTCTCCTGACTACGATAAAAGATCCTCAGACATTCTCAAATTGCTCAGAAATCTCGTTATCAGAACTTACTTCCGAGATTCGCATATTAAGTGTCGGTGATGACCCAAATCCAAGAGCTGAAACAAATTTTCTTAATCTCGTGTCCGACTGTCCCACTATCAAAGACCAAAATAACTACGACACAAAAGATACCCGAGAAAGACGAATAGTGATAAAGCCAGCTTGTTCATTGAAGGGTAGGTATAACACTTTTATATATTATATCGCCGTCTTGGCTAATACAGCGTGCCGAGGACGGTGTTCTCTCGTTTGATTTTGCAGGAAGGATCCCTGCTACTTTATTCAGATCCATGTTTAATAATTAATATAGATTACTTCATGGTTGACGAGTGCGTACGATTTTTATGCGCGTGTTGTGAAGTTACGATTCTTTACAACGAGTGCATAGTAAAAATCGTACAAACGAGACAAATCAAATGAAGTATAAAGGTATAAGTAGTAGTATGAAAAAAGACAAGAACACTTCTCGACGTTTCGAAAATTATTCATGAGTGATTATCCTAATTATTCATAGATTATCATCTTAGTTATTCATAGGTTATCATTTTATAATTAATTCATTTTCCGATGGCAAAACATCCTTGACCTTGCCAAGAGAATTATAGCCTATTTGGCTTTAGTTTATAAAGTAAAGGATAATTGTGACCGTGAAACATTCTGTCAAGCTGTTCAAATAACTGTTTGATGATTTAAACGTTAATTTGGCAAGCTACGAAATTAAACTGTCCTGGTTTTAACAGGTGATATTGTGGCTATATGAGACCGCAAGATAGTTTGAATATCAGTAACTTAGTTAAGGGACTGGTGGCTCGATTTCCAAGATTGTATGCTGCTAAGACATGTTTTTATCAAACGTTTTC